TTTTAATTTCGCAATTTTGGGTAAAAATTTTTAAGTTAGCGAAATTTTGGACGAACGAAATCCTTGGAGAAATGCGAATTGGGCATATTTTTTTAACAGCTTTAGCACTTGTAAATGGTTCAGAAGAATTCGTACATAAATACAATCAAAATATGAATGACTGTAGTAAAATTAGAGAACGTAATAAGAGAAAGAGAGAGAAAGAGTATTATATGCTAAAAGTAAGAAGGGATTTTTTTCGTCGTTCGGCTCCAAAATTTTGAAAAATTCATGATAGGCCTAATACGAAGTCGCAGGTAAGAAGTAGTTTTAAAAATAAAGCTTTTAACTCTATGAACATTTCTGTAGTCACAGGCTTTGTGCAGTAATAAAGTGCATTGGCCGACATTATCTTACAAGTAATCTCGCCCGCGGTTGTGATTATCAGATAAGATTGTTACGAACAATATCCCTTCATGAATGCCTGTAATACTTAATCACAAATAATAATTCATTGAACCTCAGGGTAATAAATATTTAAATATTTAAGTTAAAAAAATGTTTAAGTTTAATAATGAAAATTAATGAATTAATGTATTATGTATAGATGATCAGAACTTTGTAGCATTTAGTTCATTAATATATAAACATTTTAAATAAATGTGTGGTCCCGGTATAGAATTGGCCAATCCTTCCTTTCCTGTGGGTGTCGTAAGAGGCGACTAAGGGAATTTAATGGTAGACAGATGAGCAGCAGCGTCCCTATTAAAAAGTATATAAATTGTATAGAAAGTATACAAATGTATCTACATGTCCTCTATTAACAAATATATATATATATATATATATATATATAGTGTACATAGTGGGCGAGTATTAATATATATGCCCTTAAGAGAAGCAAAATTGAATAAATGAATGTCGGAATGTTCGTGAGTATGTGTGAATGTGTATTGTGTAATCCATGTTATATTATTATTAGTATTATACATATATATTATACATATTATACATATATTATACATTATTATACATATATTAATTATTATCGTTAATTTCACACCTAACACATAGAAAGCTCGAATATAAAGTTAATAATTAACCACAAGTTAACCGGATCTGAAAAGTACAGAGCATGCGAGTATGTGTGTTAGATCGCAACACGCATATGCATTATGCTAATGTATGCACAATCATTGCCAGCGTTGCATAAAAACATCCATTTGTCTAGTGTATAAAGAAAAGATGCACTTAACAATCAAGCGAGTAACTGGCAATCAATCATGTGGGTATTTACTGGTAGTTAGTTTTTGTTTGTATTCTATTAAACTTGTAACCTTTGTGGCACAGTGGTACACTATCCTGAGGGAGACTTTGTACAAAAGTTGTTCGCTTGGATACCTCTGTCCCTTTCGTGTTACAACCATAAAGCAGTTTTGTTTGCATAGCTGTGTTTCGGTTTGAAGGGTGGGATATGGCGTGAATTTACGGGGTACAGAGGAATAACACCTGAGTCCTCAGGAATGATAACGCATGGGGGGTATCATGGTCGAAACAGTATACTCAGTTATGTCCATAGTACTGCTCATGTCTATAGGCGACGGTTACCACTTTCCATCAGGTGGGCCGTCTGCTTGTTTGCCATTGTAAGTTGTATAAAAAATCCTCATTTTTTGCAATGTATGATAATGAAATGGTAACCTCGCCTGCGATAACGGTATACACTGGCGGGGCGCCAGTGAGGGAAGATAGGTGAGGATGAAAAGGCAGGTCCATTCCATTATCATCCATTAAAAAACCCATGTGTTGTCATTCCTGAGGATTTAGGTGTTATTCCTCTGTACCCTGTAAATTCACTGCCATATCCCACTGTTCAAACTGAAACACAGCCATGCAAATACAACTGCTTCACGGTAGAAACACGAATGGGACAGAGGTGCTCAAGCTAACGACTTTTATACAAAGTCTCCCTCTAGTACTGCAAATCTTTTCCTCTTTATAATATAAGCATGAAAAGTTATACAAATAAATACTGCAAAATGCATTTGTCTTAAGTGAACCCGACGCGCTTATGAGTAATATACCTACGTCGCAAACGAAAGAAAGCAATAACGTTGATCTTACAAATTGATAATATCCTGGTGGCATGCATCCATTTGTCTGAATTACAAGTGTAACATCTGACAGATTCCATTGCGGGCAATTATTGTTATTTACTATTCACATACTTTTTTTTTTGTATACAACTTAGAATGGCAAACAAGCTGACGGCCCACCTGATGGAAAGTGGTACCTATCGCCTATAGACATGAGCAGTACCATGTATATAATAGGGTATACTGTTTCGCCTATAATATCCCCCATGCGTTGTAAATTAACTATCATATCCCACCCTTCAAGCCGATACACGAATGGGACAGAGGTATCCAAGCAATCGACTTTTGTACAAAGTCTCCTTATGATAGTAACAAAGAGGTAGAAACTATTGACACTAGAGGGCGACACCCTCGCATAAATATATATATATATATATATAATACCTGGTTTTATGATAAACTAATTTGTACTGCTCATATCTTAAGACGACGGTTACCACTTTCCATCAGATGGGCCGTCAGCTCGTTTGCCATTCTAAGTTACATAAAAAAAATTATATATGGCAAAGTCGAGCTGAGTCATCATAGGACAAAACACTAAGTGGATTGCATGCAGTCACTAATGTTCGTAAGGAGCCGCTTATAAAAATTCAATTCCCGTAGCTTTGTCTCTGTTTACTGCTTTAATGCCACTGTAGCGTTGCATCCGATGAATACCTAATACACTTCGCAAAGAGCTCCGTTGCTAGGATGCTGATTATATGCAAATGGGAAAAACTGCAGTTAAATTGACCGATGGGCTTTGCAGTACACAGAGTTGGTATGCGATGGTGAACTAAACAATATTTATTTATTTATTCATATTAATATAATATTATTAATACTCGTATAGATATTTTTGTACTTTTCCATAGAACTCCACGATATCGTATGATTTTTCCGTGACAATACAATAGGAGAGTAAATTTTTTTTTACAACACAGGGTGCAAACGAGCATGCGGCTTACCTGATGGTAAGTGACTACCGCCGCCCATTATCACCCACAACACCAGCGGCATTGCAGGTGTGCTGCCCGCCTTTTAAAAAGGAATAAACTCTTTTCTTGAAGGTTATGTTGTCGTATCGGTTCGGAAATACTGCAGCTGGAAGTTGATTCCAAAGAATGGTTGTGCGTGGAAGAAAGTGCCTTGAAAAACGCACGGTGGAAGACCGCCACTCGTCCAGATGATTGGGATGAAACTTTAGTTTGTGGCGGGTTGTATGGTGGTGAAAATCAGCAGCAGGTAAATGTACGCATTTGTATGGAGACGCTTTTAAGTGTCGTAGACATGCACGACAGACACTCGAACACTGAAACTAGATATTTAAATACACGGACACCAGACACTCAGACATTCAGACATCAAACACTGAACCTGATAAATGCATTGTAGAGTTGCCGAAGTTGCAGAATTTCAGAACACAACTTCTGAGAATAATCAAACTATTGGCTGGTTAATGTATATTTTTTTAATGGGTGAAAATAGAATAGTAACCCCGTTTGCACTATCGATATATGCTGGTGGGGCACCAGTAATAGACGATGGGTGAGGATGAAGGTAGGTCAGTCAGTCCATCGGGAAGAATTCGACAAGAATTAATCACGATGGTTTCCAGGGAAACCGCGCGGTCGACCTGCTAGTAATAAGGCTGTTAAAACCCTTTACTAAGAAACCCTCTCCCCCTAGCTAATGTATATTAGGCGCGCCAAAAAAGGAATCATAATATAGAAATTCAAAGTTGGTCAGAAACAGAGAGAGAGACTACAGCATGGGGTTCTTCAAAAGGGGGGTAAAGAGGTTTCTTCAGGGTCAGCAACGCGCGCGTAATACCTCTGGTATTGCAGGCGTTCATAGGCTACGGTAACCGCTTACCATCAGGTGGGCCGTATGCTTGTTTGCCACCTCAGTGGTATAAAAAAAAAAAAAAAAAAACAGTCTAAATGATACTAAATGTAGGAAAATTCAAAAAATGTACTGTTTTTTTTTTTATTTTGGTAGGTCAGGGGTGTTCTTCTCTAGAAATCTGTTCGATTCTAGAATAAGGGCATACGGGTATGCGACCCCGGCCTTCCGAGCCGCTGCAGGGTCCCCCCTCTTTCCTTTCCCACATAAGTCCCTTATTCCTCTCATTTAATAATTTCCTTTATGCATTTCCAACGTTCCCTTCCTTTTTTCCTTAATCCTTTCCTCCAAACCGTAGGTGGTGGACACCACCAACAAATGCATTCCCAAAGAGGGTTGACGTCAGGCAGGCGGCCGGTCTTAAAACTATAAGCCAAATCCTTTAGTAATATGGATAAAACCATATTATGCCGACTCCAAATAATAATTGGGATAAGAAGTATGATGATTTTAGTACCTATATTTTTTGTACAGCAATGTTAAATAACGATTCCCATATCTAGCAACTGTTTTTCAATCGTCCGCCGCACTGTTACATTCGGCACGCAAAATATGTGTTTGTCAATTTTATCTTATCCAAATTTTATCAAAACCATACTGTGTCATTCTTCGCTTTAAAGCTTCTAGCGTTTTCCAGTAGGATTGTTATAAACAACAACGTGATAGCATTCTAGCTTCATTTTATCTTATCTAGTAATATTTTTTATGCAATGAATGGCAAACAAGGAAACGACAAACGTACAAAAATACCATGACAGCCCATAGCATCCTCTACAATACATATTCTTACTCTTGCTATTTCTGAAGATTGAGATATTCTGCCTTAGTATTTTCTAATTTCATCCCTATATCCTACCCCTCAAACCATGCAAATATAGCCATTTAACGCCAAACACAAATGCGACAAAGGTACTCATAAACCTACGAGTATTATGATGAACTGGTTAAATGTTTAAGATATTTTATGAATTATGAACAAACCTGTAAGGGATGCGTCGGCGTCTGACAGCTCTTTGGACGCTGGAACGGCTATCCCGTGATGACGAGGTCCCACCATCAAATCTCACAGCGGCGTTCCTCGCTTCAGCGCTTTTAGCGCTTTCCAGCAGGATCGCCGTGTACTTGGTGATCAACATCGTAACTCGATTTTCACACATTTACACTCACTTGTAACAGGAGCACACTTCACAATTCATAATTTAAAAAATTGGGAACATTTTAAATTCGATAATAAACTTGTTTTATTTTTATTATTCGTTATTTTTGAAATTGGAAGTTAAATTTTGTTTTCCAACACTGGCTTATAACTTTCAAAATTAGAACATAAATTTTAATTCAGTAAAGAATCTATTTTATTTTCTCTCTCGCTATTTTTGAATTTGGAAATTTAATTTTGATCACTAGCACTGGTCACTGGTATAAATTTTAATATTGCATTACAATTTTACGCAGAAAAAACCACTACTGCGCAAACGAAATTGTTTATGGTTTTGTTCTAGTTGTTTGCCGCGGATCGAGAAGTAGGTATTATTGTTGAGATATTTACACAATGACATCATACACTTTTCGCATTTCGAGAGATTGCAAAGAAAAAAGCAAATTATAGAGTAATATAACTTATTTTTCGAGTCAAGCATCGGAAAGGCCGGGGCGTACTGTCATACTGACACGGTACAGTGGTCACCTACCGGCGTTTACTGCATCCTGCCCGTCCTATGGCAGGAACTAGTGAATTATGCGTCAGTCACACCCACATACTTCGGATAAAAGCTTTTGATTGACTTTAATTTAGTCGGAAACTTGTAAGTAACTGTACGCATTGTCTCTATATCGAATGTTTTTAATATGTATCTAATTTTTTCTATTAATTTCAGTGGACAGTCCACTGTTAAACATAAGCCTCCTCCCATAGATTGCCATAAGGAATGGTCATAAGCCATCTACATTCTGCTGAACCTAAGCTTCCCGAATTCATAAGGGGGATTTTTCCAGTAGTTGCTACTCTTGGCAAGCGGATTGGCAACCACAGTAGGCCTTGGTGATGTTTTAAGAGGGACGCTGCTACCCATCCCTCGACTATTAATTTCCTATTCTATGGCGAGACCTCAAGGCATATATTTAGAACATTGTCAATTAATTTGTAATTGAATATTACACAAGAGCACTGTCTATATCGTCATCAAGTCAGAACTACGCTACTTCATCATCATCATCACCAAATCAGCCTTTAACTGTCCACTGCTGAACCTAAGCCTCCCATAAGGAGGATTTTGCCAGTAGTTGCCACGCTTGGCAGGCGGATTGGCAACCACAGTTAGGCTTTGGAGATGTTTTAAGAGGGATGCTGCTCCCCATACATCGTCCTCCCTTAGTCGTCTCTTACGACACCCACAGGAAAGGAAGGGGTAGCCTATTCTACGCCGGAACATCACGAGCACTGCATCGTAATTACTGGACGATAATTATTGAACGCTTATGAATGTAAACGTTCGTTTCACAGTAAACTCATTTTGTCCAATTAACAAGGAATATTCATGAACATTGCATATTCATCGACGCACTGATTATAAATTAGTTGTGAATTGGAATGATTTATTTATTAAAATAATTATATTTAGTCAGTTAATATCATTAGAAATATATACTTTTTGCTCTGCAAAAAAAAAAAAACACCTTTTAAAACACGATGAACAATAAGATACGTAAAGATGTTGAGAAAAACAAACTGTTTTTCTTTTAAATAGACAATAAAATACCGCAAAGTGGATAGATTCTTTTTTTTTATACAACTTAGAATGGCAAACAAGCTGACGGCCCACCTGATGGAAAGTGGTAACCGTCGCCTATAGACATGAGCAGTACCATGGACATAACAGAGTATACTGTTTCGCCCATGACACCCCTCATGCGTTGCCATTCCTGAAGACTCGGGTGTTATTCCTCCGTACCCAGTAAATTCACGCCATATCCCACCCTTCAAACCGAAACACAACCATGCAAACACAACTGCTTTACGGTTGAAACACGAATGGGACAGAGGTAGCCAAGCAAACGACTTTTGTACAAAGTCCTTACCCATATCTTTTTAAGATATATTTAATATGTAGATTAGTAAATTCAGCGTGATCAGAACTTAACGTGAACGTCACTGTTAACATTTAGTTAACTAATGTAAGCTCGTACACTTGTTCCATTCGGTTGATTACACAATAAACGAGAGGCGTTTGATCCTGCGACCTCGAGGATACACGAGTCCAACGCTCCATTAAGCTATTGTGACTTAATTAGTAAATTATTGACTACGTTATTTTTAACTGACTTTTAAAAAGGATAAAGTTCTTAATTACAAGAGAGAATTTTTTTTTCAACCGATTTAAAAAAAGGAAGTTCTAAATTCGTTTGTATTTATATTTTAATGTTTGTTACTTCTATTCATAACTCCGTCAGTTGTAAACCTTTTTAGATTTTTTTTTTATCTGAAAAGATATACTTACAGATTCGTACTATAGAAATTTTATAAATATCGGTTTGGTAATTTAGTAAATGTTTTTTTTTGGACTCAATCATTAATTATTTATTATGTATTTTGCGTGTTTTTACATATTTATTTATGTCTTTTTTGTATACATTTTTTTAATGTAATATAATAATAATTATTAGTGTAATATTAGTAATATATCTGTATTATAATGTAATGTAACAAACTTATCAAAATGCTTGTTAAACAAAATTGTAACTAACGTTGGTATTCCTAAAAAAATGAGGTTATGCAGTATGTTCGTAATTGATTTCTAATAAATCATTTTTAATATCACGCTAATCCTATATTCATAACATTGTTACAGTTGAACATGAGTTCAGCGGCGGTAGATGAGGTAATTAATTTTTTTTTTTTAATATTTACAAAAATCTGTAATAATTATTTGTCATATCCACTAAAAGCGATTATTTTTTTAAATTAAACAAATAGTAATAATTAATAATAATTGTATTGGTTTATATAAAATATATATTGCCATGTGGTTCCGGCATAGAATATGCCACCTCTTCCTTTCCCGTGGGTGTCGTAAGAAACGACTAAGGGAGGGCGATGGATAGGCAGCAGCGTCCCTCTTAAAACATCTCTAAAGTGCCTAAGTGCTGTTGTCAATCCCCCTGCCAAACGTGGCAACAGCATCAGTGGACAGTTAAAGGCTGATATGATGATATAAAATATAATGCACCATTTCGAATATAATTCATTCACCATTTTATGAAATCGGTAATATTTACACAATTTATTTGCAGGTTGGAAGGTAATTTGTAAGTAAATAATGTACTTAACTGCACATCTTCCTTCGAACTTAAACTGCATAAGTTATGCCCAGAGAAACGGGTAAAATTATTAAAGAGTCCCGTTTTATGTCGTTTGATTGCCGAACGCAATAAAAGCGGTATCTGGCATAATAAATGCTTTCATTTAAATTTAGCATTCTCGCTTCACAAATACGGATTTGTGTCACATATTTAATGTGTTATAAAACATCCGAACACACTTTTAGCGTGTTTCGGAAAGCTTCTTTAAAATAAGACGACGATGTGTACGAGTATGAATGTGGCTCATTAAAACATTGTATGGTTTATTAAATCATTCATAATTCATAAGCCTAAAATCTAAGCAGATTATTATTTAGTTACTTTTTTTACAAAAGAGGACTTAACGCCTGATGGCACTCTCAACCAGTGCCACGCCAGAGGGAGCAAATGGCGATACGGAGATTTAAAAAAAATGTAATTTAGATGAATATTTTGAGAGATAACAACAATTTAAAACAAAATACCACCGTGTGTCGGGACCACACGGTGGTTTTTTGTGTATAAATATAAAAATTATATAAAAATTAAACTGCTGAACCGATATTGATAAAATTTCTATAGAGCCTCAGATTGGCCCCTACTCTTTTAGGTAAACAAGAATTTATAATTGATTTAACAAAAAAAAATGTAATAAATAAATAAGAAAGAATAAATAAATAATAAAAATATGTTTTTTTTTTTAAGTTGGTTGAGAAACACAATTATGTTTATTGTGCAGTAAAATAGATTACAATTTGATTTGATTGCTAAAGGTAACCTAATATTTAATCGCGACGTCGTCTATACAGTGTGGATATCAAGTTCTCAGTACTGTTTGTCCCGTCTTCCATTTTGCTAACGCAAACAAACAGAAATGTTGAATGCCAATTCAAATCACTATAAATAATAAATAACAAAAACTTAACGCGATAAATTATCAGAAAATTAACATAAAAAAAAAAAATAATAGGTGTAAAAAAATTGATAGCAAAAATAAATAATTAAATATGGTCTAAAAAACCGACTTCAGTTGTGAAAAAAATAATTATTTTGATTTAAAAACTAAACTACTAAACTGATTTTTAAAATCTGTAAATATATCCATTTAAATAAAAAAAAAATCCAATTCCAATCATGATTTATTTGTGTGTTTCTACTTATTTGACACAACAACAACACACAATAACACACAACTTAGAATGACAAACAAGCTGACGGCCCACCTGATGGAAAGTGGTAACCGTCGCCTATAGTCATGAGCAGTACCATGGACATAACAGAGTATACTGTTTCGCCCACGATACCCCGCATGCGTTGCCATTCCTGAGGACTCAGGTATTATTCCTCTGTACCCTGTAATGTGTACCATTAGTATGTGACTACTAATACTAAATATAGCGGAATTAAACAAAATAATTCTAATTAAATAACCAGTGATATGGACTTCCGCAAGATAACACTTAGTTCAGGGGGAAAAGGGATTGTGAGGTTAATCAATTGGGAGGTTAATCCCCATTGCTATCAATATATCCTATCAGGTCGACCTCAACGCGGTTCCCTCTGGAAACCATCGTGACTAATTTATGGTTAAACTCGTCACGATGGGCTAACTATCTGCCTTATCATCCTCACCGATCATCCCTCATTGGTGCCCCGCCAGTGTATACCGATAGCACAGGCGGAGTTATCATTCCATTATCATTCATTTAAAAAAAAAATCTACTTCAGTATAATAATTGTATGTACTTACGTACGTATATTGTGGATTGTTTTTGGACAATTGTTATTCTTAAGCACGACCGCATTTTAAACAAATGTGACACACATATGTTACGTATTTTATATTACAGTTACCATTAAGAAGGTCAGGTTTTCATTTCATTTGTTAAATTTTAGTTACTGATATTTATATATATATATATATATATTTTTGAATATTTGCATGCCTAAATCGCTTAAGGCAATTAAACAAAATAGAACCACGTGACTTTTGCAATAATTTTAAGACTGTTTAATGCAAATAAGTTATTTTCATTTCATTTCAAAAAAATTAAACATGCTTACGAAAATTACATTAATATAACTCAAAGTATGATAAAAACTGTCAAAATATAAAATACTCGTATTAACTTATCTTTCTATCTACCCGTGCGAAAACCA